ATGAAGTACTCTAAATCGAATTTTAAATCATGATGATCACTGATGAATAAATCGTCGTTGATGAAGCTAATTTTTTCGAAATTCTCCCAATTCGGAGACATGAATCCTTTTGCAAAATTAATAGTATTCACCACAACGGAATGATGTTGTAGTGTAATTAGTAATCATTTCAAAATTTGAAAAACATTTTCTGGGATGTCAAAAGCAATCAATGAACCATTTTCTATTAACATTATACGATCTGAGTCGGTAATAGTGTTCAAGCGATGAGCAATATTGAGAACAGTCTTGTCTGAGAACTCTTTTTTCAAGCTTTCTTGAACAGTGAAATCTGTCTCTTCATCAATATGAGATGTAGCTTCATCCATTATTACTATCTTTGAATTCTTAAGAAGAGCTCTACAGATACATAGTAATTGACGCTCTCCCATTGAAAAATTCTCTCCATTCTCGGACACTGGAAATTGTAACTCATTATCCATTTGTAAAACTCTATCTTTCATGTTAACTTTCTCCAAAGCATGCCAAATTTTCTCATCTTCAAATTGATTAAGAGGATCAATGTTGAATCTTAATGATCCAGAAAACATGGAAGATTCCTGAGGTATGACTGCAATTTTAGACCTCAACATTTTAACACTAATGTTCTCAATGTCCACATCATCGATCTGTACAACGCCTTGCACATAACCAGCTGAACGCGTGAGAATAGACAACAAGCTGGATTTTCCAGACCCTGTTCTTCCAATAATTCCGATCTTCTCTCCTTGATGAATTTCCACATTGATGTTGTTTAACACAAACTCGGAATCTGTACTATATTTCAAAGAGACGTTCTTCAACATAATAGTTCCATTGGAGGGCCAATCAGTGATTGAAATTTCATTATTTGACTCTTCATGTGGTAGTTCTTGACAATAATGAAGAATTCTCTCAATAGCATTCATATCATTTTCCAAGTCTGTGGAGTACCGTACCAACCACTCTGCGTTATTGGTGACAGATAATGCATAGGAAAGGCATAAACCTGTCATGGTAGCTGAGACATGACCTATCAGACACGATAATGCTGTAAATAGAACCACACTCACCCCAAAAAATTTCAATCTAAGAGCAATCCATCTCTGAGCAACAATTTGTGTGAAGATGGCCAGGTTAAGTTGGTCAACCAGTCTTTCGTTTTCTTTTGTATAGATGTTTTGCTTTCTTTGAGAGCGAATAACACTACATCCTTTGATGGTTTCCATGAAGTGCGAAAGCAGAGGACTCTTACTGGTTGAAATAAGTCTCTTAATTTCACATCCTGTTTTTTGATAATATATTTGAGTCCTCCAGTATATGATAATTCCTGGAATAATTGGAATCATGAACCATGGAACAATAATAGAAATAACTAGTAATGTTCCAAGCACAGAGAAAAGGAGCAGCCCAATAGTGACTTGAACGAAGTAATTAAGGAATTGTCAATGATTTCAATATCACTAGAAAATCTATTCATGATTCTTCCAACAGGTGTTGTATCAAAAACACAATTGGAGCAGCCATCAACTTGGAAAATGCTGTGTCGTGGAGTTTTTTAGCAGCTTTTAAACCGAACACACTCATCAATACTTCTGAAAGGAAAATACAAACTGCACATCCAATACCAAGTGCAATGTAAATGCCTATGAATAGTGATTGTTCAGTTGTTGAATTAATGGCACCACTATTCGTTTGTTTGGACCAAAATGCTAAAAACCAGCTGTTCAATGATTGAACCGTTTGTGACAACGTGAAAAGAGCCAGAATGACAACAGTAGGGATAATACCACCCATGTAGGACAAGTATTGAAGGTATAACTTGTAATCTATATGTCCCTTTGCTCTGTCTTCTTTAGATTTTTGAGGAGCTTTGATTTTCTTGTTTTTTAACGGAGGATCCAACTGTATATGCTTGTTTGAATCTTCTGACATGTGTTGCAAATATTCCTTATGAAAGTTTTCATCTTTGGGGGGAACCTTGTGCCATTAATTGACCTTCTTTCATCACAACAACATGATCGGCAAAATTACAGAACTGTAATTGATGAGTTACAAGGATTCGAGTTTTGTTTGCCAAATATCCACAAATGCAGTGATGAAAAACGCTCGTCCTAACATTGGGATCTAACGCAGAGAGTACGTCATCTAAAAGGTAGACATCTGCATCGGAATAGAGAGCTCTGGCCAAAGCCACCCTCTGTTTTTTGCCCTCCAGAAAGCATGGAACCTTTCTGACCGACCATGTATCTATCTCCACATTCTAATGATTTCAAATCAGTGCCTAGACAACAGCTTTCGATGACTCTATTATATTTGTCTTCATCAAGTGGATTTCCAAAGAGAATGTTGTCTCTAATGGTGGCATCCTTGAGCCATGCTTGTTGAGGAACATATGCCAATGTTCCTCCCAATGTAATTGTTCCATGTTGTCTTTTCATTTCACCCAATAGGGCGGAGAGTAGTGAGGATTTTCCACAACCAAGAGAACCAACCACGACTACTAACGAACCCTTCCTTATATTGAGGTTAATATTCATCAATGAAAATGTCTTGCATATGGAAACTTTGTCAACCGATGAATGACCACTACTGGTGTCAACTAATTGATGTTGTTCGGACTCTTTCTCAATAGCATTAGTATTGAGGGATGGTTCACATATTGCAACGCTTTCTTCCCATGAGAAAGAGCCCTCTTTCACTTGTATTGCATATTCTGACTCCTCAGTCAATACTTGAATTTCTTCAACATTTTCTGCAGTAAGAAAACGCTCTATTCTATCTAAGCTAATTTTTGCTTCAACAAAGGAAGCCAATAATGAAGGAAAGAATGTAGTGGGTGCTTTAAGCAGATTGATATAAGACAAGCATGTGAAAATGATTTTTGGTTCCAGAGAGTTGTAAATAGAATACACGGCAAGTGATATAATTGCAACAAATATTGGAATAACTCGCATAAGACTGTTGGTAAAACAATTAGCAAGCATGACTTGAGTGTTTTTCCACATTTCAGATTTCCTAATCTGTGATATCTTATCGACAAAAGCTGATTCCCAAACATTCAATTTGATGGTCCTAATGCCATTAATGACTTCACTCAAGACTGCCTTTCTTTGAGCGGAAATGAGCAAGGCCGATCTCCTAATTCTTCTTACTGCTCGAGTAATGAGCCAACATATTGGCACAACCACAACAATGATTGAAAATCCAGTCAATGCAGGCCAACCAAGCATGATCACCAACATGGTCACAGAAACAACAATCTGCAAAACACAACTCCAAGTCATGTGCAGATTCTTGACGAGACCACCAATCTTGACAGAGTCAGTCGTCATGTATGTGATAATGTGTCCATTATTGAAATTCTTCTTTACGACAGGGCTCAAAGAAAGAGTCTTTCGATAAACAGCGGTCATTAGAGCTGTGATAATTCTCCTTCCTTGAGTCATTACAACAAAAAAGTATTGTTGCAGAAAAATAGCACCAATCAATTGCAAAAGAAATAACGATATTGCAAGAAAATAGCCCCAAAACACCGAAGAGTTTTCTCCTTCTCTTATATGACCTACAATCCACTGTACAAACATGGGACTAACCAACTGAGTGATGTCATAAATGATTTTCAAGAATCCAGCCAAATAGAAACGACGACCGAAAACTTTATGAATGACTTTTAAAAGTTTTGAGTTGCTCCGATTGGAAGATGTAACTGCTGATTCCCATTCATTTTGAAAAGAAGATGAAATATGTGCAGCTTTCTCTTCGCTTCTCAATCCATAGAGGTCAGTCATTTCAAGAACTTTTTCAGATCCAAGTTTTATCAAATCGTTGAAATACCAAAATGTCAATCTGGAAAATATATTTGCATTTTCCTCAGGACATGAGCTGACATGGAGTAATTAGAAATGATGAATCAAGACAGTACCTACAGTTGTGTTTGATCGCCAATTGTGATTTCTGGTTGTTGAGAAGTCATTCGTCAATTTTTTTTGTGTTGAAAAGTCGCATAAGAGGACAAGGAAGGAATTGAAATTTCATTACCAATTAGAAATTCCTTTCTAAAAAGTGACAAAAAGGAAGATCTTTTTGGAAAAGGGAATTGGAATTTTCTGCTCGCAATATTTGAAACCAAAATGGGAAAAATAGTTGACATAACTCCAATTATGTACACACGGAAAAGTTAAAACCCGAACGGTAACTGCAGTTTGTCCTTGAATCAAAAAAAAAGTCGTTTCGTGTACAGTCGCAACCATTCAAATGCAATCTACTTATTCCAATCCAGAATCAAGATCTTTCGATTCATTTCACCGTCGCAAATGTGAATTGGTCGAACCAAACACTTTTAAAGAAGAACATCATTTCTATCCTAAAGCTGTACATGCACATTTGAGTGAAATTGTTAAAGAGTTTATGACATTAGGTAAGTTGTTACAAGTGACAAGGAAATCAGCTCAAGCATTCACAACACAAGATACTCCTCAACTTGTCAAAAGATTCTGTGAACTTCATCCAAATGTACAAGAAACTAATCTCATGAACGTTCTCACTTTCAAACCTCAATTCTTCAATTGGTCAGGCTCTGACTTGTTTCATGTCTCCGATCATACTGGTTCCAAGAGCATGGTTCTCATTGAAACAAATTCTTGTCCATCGGGTCAAAAAGCAATGCCCAAGATGGATTCGATGAGAATGCAACATGACAACGTACACAGAGGTTATCGCACTCTCATCGAAAACATGTTCAAACCAATGCTCGAACAGCACGAACGAATGCTTGGACCTCATATGGTGAAAGATGGAAAGCTTGCTGTGGTTTATGATAAGAACAAGATGGAAACTTGGGGTTATGCAGCGATAATTGCAGATGTGTTTAGAGAATCTGTATATTTGGTCGAGTACAAAAACCAAGACGATGATCCCTCTGTCAGATTTGTGGGAAACAATCAAATAATGCAAATTCGTGATGTTAACAACCAGTGGATGAACATCAGAGCTTGCTTTAGATATGTCACTCAAAAGCCATGGAATCGATTGCCAATTTCAAAGATTAGAACGCTCATTATCAATCCTGTCGTTTGCTGCTTGGCTGGAGGAAGAAACAAACAACTTGCAGCAATTGCATTTTCTAAATTCAATATGGAAAAGAACGTTGGTATACAAATTAATACTCCAAAGACAGTTTACAATGTTGAAAAACAGATGATACCATATTGGATTACATATTTTGGAGGAATTGGTGTGATCAAGAATCCTTATTCAAATGCTGGACAAGGAGTATGGGTAATCACTAACACAAAAGAGTTAAAGCAATTTATGGACACTATTGACAGCAAGTATGAGAAATTTGTTGTGCAGTCAATGATTGGTTGTAAAGCTTGGAAAAATACTCACTTTTACCACGTTGGAACTGTACCTGATAAGGACAACAATGTCTTTGTGGCAGATTTGAGAATGATGGTTCATTTTGATTATACAATGAATGAATTTCGCCCTCTTGCTCTGTTTGCTCGAAAAGCAAGAAAACCATTGCAACATTCAATGAACAGCGACAACTGTACTAGTTGGGATATGTTTGGGACAAATCTCACATTGGTTGGTGAAAA